ATATGATGCTTTACCGTTTTATTAAATAGTTGTGTTCATATTTTAAGACATCAAGTTATACTATACACTAACAATTTTGTGTGAACTATTTAGTCTGATGCATAGAGAAGATGCATCAATTTTTAAAATAAAGTTGTAACTTCTCGCTAAACCAGCGAACTTCATTGTAAGTAATTAAAATGAAAATGTTACCTATTGACCAATAAACTTATAAACCTGTGATGACCTACCCGTTAAATAGATCCTTCTTTTAAAATACAACTGATGAAATATAACAATCAACATTTTCTTCGGCATACCGAAACGCGGGAAAGCGCGGCATACCTCCTTTAGTGTTATTATTAAAAAATACTCAGATTCTTAAAAAGAGCGCATGACATCATTTGCAGAAAACATCCAAGGCACAAGAATCAATATGGTTAAAAATAGCTTGGTGTTATGTATGATGACGTTCGAAATTGGCGCGCGCACGGCAACACGCATTTTTGGGGTCTGACTTGCTCCAAGGAGCAGCGTTACAAAAGGTCAATGGCACAGTTACAAAAGGTAATTGGCGTCGCTTGGACTATAAGATGGGCCGCGAACGCCAGGAGGGAGCAGTGAGTAATCCAATTCAGGAAGATGGCGATCTGATTGAAGAGTTAGTGCTCGAGCCTGGGTTAAAGTATCTACTTCTTACGTTATAGCGCCTGGTTTTGTGTAGTATGTTCTAAAGTGGTGAACTGCGCTGTAATTAGGATCGTAGACTTTGTACTAAGACTGCTGCAAACACTGTTTTTTCTATAATGTGATTGTTGAAGTGGCTTATATGATATGAGTTACTCTGGGTTATTTATATTCACTATATGAAATGTAGAAAATCCTAAAAAACATTGTTTAATGTCTTTCAGTATTAATTAAGTCTTGAAGATTAATGAAATAGGGGGGGGGGGTTAACACGTTCTGGAACAATACAATTACTGGCAACCCAGAGTTCAATATCTTTCATAAAATGTACTGGAAATGAAAGTGTGGTAAAATATTTTGCTGTCCACCTTACCTTAAAAACGTAATGTTCTATGTAATCATAAACCTGATTGTTTTGTGAAGGGACACGTGTGTCAGACGATTGCTGGACATTGTGTTTATACACACATTACATGGACAATGCGTTTATCTCATCGATTACAATCCAAACAATGAGATAATGAAGAAATAATGGCAGATAAACGTTCATTTAAATAATTTTGTGATCTTATTAAAATTTGTAATTTTTAGTTAAAACCTGTTAGCATTAGAAAGCGATAAAACACGTGCTGCCCTCTACTTTCATTTCAAACAAAAAAGCGAAATTTAGTTGAGTGAAAAATTCGAATTTCTTTCCAAACGGTACCCGTTCTTGTTTGAAATTTAAAGATTTTTGCAAGTTTCTACATGTCAGAGGTTTTATTGAAAATCTTATCTTATTTATCTTATTTAACTTGGACAATATGAATCCACATTTCTTCTCAGGATGAACAGATCGTAATCCTAAGAAGCCAAATGTGCATTCCTTCCCCCTTTCTCTGCATTCTTTGCCGCTCCTATCGGCCACTCCGACCATCCCCACCTTTACCACTTTAGTTTGCCACAGACGTTGGGTAGCGCTGGTAGCGCAAGGTAGCGCGGGCCCTAGAAACACCTGTCCTGCGGTTGGACCTCACAAGTCGTCGCGAGCCTTTTCCAGTGTCGAAGATTCCGGTCTTGTTTATCTGAAGACCAGCCTGGCGCGAAAGAGTGCGGGTTTTGTCAAGCATTCGGCCTGACCGCGGGCGTGTCCAGGGGGTGGTGAGGAAAGGGAGAGGCTGTGAAGGGAACCGTGGGACGAAGGACGAAAGAGGGAGGGGTTGGGTGAAGCGGGGCTGGGCGAGGCACGGCAGGGCTGGATGAGGCGTGGAGTGGCAGTGGGGCAGGGAGAGGCGGTGAGAAGAGGAGTGGGGTGCTGGGTCCAATGCGAAAGAGGAGTTGTCTGACAGGGAGTGCGCGGGGCGTGAATTCTATTTCCGGCGGGAGGCCTCGACGCGGATGGAAGGGTGTGTGGGCGGGGGAGGGGGCGGGGCGGTTGGCGCGGGAAATGAAACGACGGGCGGGCGGGCGGCGCGGTGGTGGCGCCGGCGGCGACCCACTAGGCAGCGCGCGGAGCCCAGCCCCCGCCCCCGGCCACGCGTCTGCCGCCGCCGCAGCGTTGACTGGCAGCGGGGGCGGGAATCCCGAGATGGCACGCGCGCCCCGCCCTGGCTTTGCCCACGAGAGGCCTTGCTTGCCGCTGCGCAACCATGATTATTCCAGCGAGGCAGGAGCACTCTGGCGGAATGTTTCGGGCCTACTCCCAGCAAGGGTTCAGATGAATATTCTGGGAATGGAGGCGGATGGAATGAAGGAATGTACCAGTGGCACAGGATTTGGAAGCCTGTTGATGGAATGAGCAGAAAAAGCCACTTGCACTTGTTTACGAAAATGTGCTATCATATGCTTTCACATGACTTTCCTCAATACGTGGTATCTTTTGTCAAATATTGAACTAATTAAATTAAAACTAGTGGTGCTAAAACACCACGTTCTTTCTCGCATTTAGTAGTAATTATGTAATACTATTTATAACACAATTTATCTTCGAATGAGAACATCTCAGACATTTTTTATAAAACTTGTTCCAAATAGTGGAATATTTGGTGAAAAAGTAAATATTTTCAAGCAAATACCAACACAAAGTTGACAATTATAACTACTCTTCATACAAATAAATTATGTGCCAACAATAAGACGAATTCCAATGGAAAATTCCCTAAAGGCTAGGAATTATTATTTCATATAACATTTTTAAATATTTAAAATCTATTTGAAATATTATTTCAAATAGGTTTTAAATAATTTCTAAACTATCAATTTGTAAATGTAAAACAAAAACTCGAATGTACGAAACGAACAAAGAAATAAAAAAGAACAACAAATTCTAACTTACGAAGCATCCAACTGCTTGGAGTTACGTTCACGAAGCGCAGAAAAGTCGGAGCGAGCGACTATGTTTGTCGCCAAATTACACAAACAATACTCATGTTTTCAAAAATTCAACAGAATCTGATTTGAATATCTGTTTTTGATTAACATATTTCATTAGGAAAAAAATTGTAAATTCACGATTGTAGGTGAGGGATGACGCCATTATTTTTGTTAATTTGCGAAACATCAGGCATTTGACAAACACGAGACCTGCACCATTCTCTTAAGCGTTTTTTAGGCTATCTGCAGTCCCAATTTAATAAAAAAATGTTGCGCCTTTTTCTAGAGAAAAGGTTTAAAGAAAATAAAAATTGTTTTGCACATTATTTCACAAAAATACCTATGTGTTTAAAAAAACTAAACATTACATTATTTTTAGATCGTTGTAGGGAGCCACCGAAAAGTTAGAATGTTTTCAATTTTCGAAAATCAGGAATTTGAAACACGATGAGACCTGCACCATTCCCTTGAACATCTTTAGACACTCCAGCAACTAAATTAAATCAAAAACTTTGCAATCATTTTTGTTTAAATTTCAAAAATGTTCCAGGGACTTCACGTAAAGTAACCCTTGGAATTGAAATATCAATTTCAAATTAAAGAGGCCACGACATTAGCCAAATCGATTGGAGAAAATGAATGAGAGAATCATGTGAACAGTTTAGTCGCCAGCGCTATTCTCAGACGGACGTACAGATGGCCAGACGTTTTGCTGCCAGTCGATTTTTAGGTATCAAGGACCCACAAAACGTATTCTAACTACACTGTGACCGATCACGTATTTACATACGTTGAATATTTCGCTTCTCACCCAAACCGAGATAAGAACTGACTAGGGCAGTGATTGACATCGCAGACACAACGTTCAGTAACGAAAAGATCTGAGTAGTAGGTTTAACGGTATTTCGATCGGCGTAATCCAGCCACCCGATCGATTAACAAGTGTTGAACGGGTCTCATTCTATGCGAGTCGATGAGGAGATCAAGACATTCGCTAGCAGCGGGAAGGACGCGAACGGAATCAATTTCCGTCTGTTATAAAACCACATCGAAAAGGATCATTCTAATAGGTGAATTTTCTGTCAACAGTAGTATTTTTGGTGGTACGTTATTCGTGGAATTCTGAGAAAAAAATATATGAATTTTGTAATGTGAAAGATGCAAGCACGGGCAATGGCTTACGCCCATGCTATCATTTCTCTATTACAGCCTTTTTTGTTTTTACGAAATTTCGTGTCTGCCATCCTGAATTAAATACCATAATTCCAACTGCCTAATTAAATGGTAAAGGGAATGGTATTTCTTTAAAAACGACATCGGATATGATTGATGTATCGAGGTCTGAGACACATACGTGTTCGGGACGACACTTGGTTAGAGAGGCATCTCTGCGTACCGTTGGGATCCTGATCTGCATCTTCTGGTGAAGCGGAATTACCCCACGAGGACGACTTTGGAAGGAGCGACGCCAGGAAGACGACATATTCAAGGCGAGGTGCGGCTCACGGATTCACGGCGCAAGGGTTCTTCGCGGAAGTATTGTTCGCCCACGCCATTCGCCCCTTGTATTTACACAAAGGAAGGAACTACCTTCTTTCTAAACTTTGTGAAGTGCGGATGTATTTTCCCCCAGTGCCTACCCGCCAGTGCCGGAGGACGGTACTATCTAAATATGGTAAAAGCCAGATTCGCTTTAAAACCCTCTAAAGTTTTGAAAACTGCAAAAGTTCAACTTCTTACACCGTTATTATTGGTCCGTAGTCTGTCGTACACCTTTATTATTGGAGCTAGAGATTTCTTTCTTAAAGATATCTTCTTCTTTATTACTACTTCCAATCAATTCATGTACAGTTAAACAAATATTATTAGTGTCCGCGCAATTTGAAATGTCTTTCCAATTTTGCAGATGTACCTTTTAATTAAAACACTTTAATTTTTCGCAATTAGAGCTAGTGTGTGTTGCAGCAGTATTATTTCGTTTGATGACTGGTGAGGGCGGCCGCAGGTGTGTTAGGGCGGGGCGGCCGCAGGTGGCCGGGCGAGTTACTCACGCCGGTGGCGGCCGCGGTGGCGCCTTGCCCAAGAGGCTGCGGTGACGGCAATTGCTGGATTCCTCGCAGGCCAATGGCGGCTCAGCGCCAGAGCCTCTGATTCACACGGAGCTCAGCGAGGCGGCGGCCCCTGCGCGCAGGAAGACGCCGTCGACGGCTTCAATTATTTTATACCGACTGAGGTAGCCCTAGGCAACAACTGTTGTCACTGCAGTTATTGATCGGGAGATCACAGGCTTCAAATCTCGACGGTGGCGGATTTTCGAAAAACTATGTACGTCACATTTAGTCGGTAACTACCGGAGAATTCTCGAGGTCGGCTGCTCTGATCGGTACATTTTCGTGGTTTCCCCAAACAGTGCCATGCGAAAGCCGGAGGAATATCCTAACAAACGGGTCATGCGCGATGTATCCTTATTTTACCTTGTCTTAACCTCTCCCTTTACAGATTCACTCATTTACATGTATTTTGCCCGGCTGCGGCGGCGCTCCGCTGGCGGAGATACCTTCGCAAGGCGGCGTGTGGCTCGGAGCCAACGAGGAAAACACAACCCTCTACAACAATATAACGCACCCATTAGCCATTACACACCCAAAAACGTATAATAATAATAATAATAATAATAATAATAATAATCCAAACCACTGTTTTATAAAATTGTGTCCAATATTTAGGATCAAATCATTGAATGCAATGTTTTAGCATGGATGTTTTGTACTCGAGATGTTTACCTTGTCAATGTTTTATTTTTGAAAGTAAGAAAAAACATAATACAAATCTGGGATTTTCAGCAGTCAACAAATTGAACATTGAGTTAAAAGGGATCAAGGGAATTTTATATTACTCCAACACATAAACCAGGTTTCATGAGTGTTTTTGAACGTTAGAGGTTACTAAACAGGATTTACAAACTTAGATAGTTTTTGGGGTTTGTATTATTAACAGCGCTGTTTTTAATTTTCAACTTCGATATTTTGTTGTCGGTGTCGGAGCCTCGAAAGTCATCGTCTGCACCCAGGAACAAGATTTATCCCTACTTTTTCGATTTCAGAGCCCACTACACGAGTTTTCCTGTCGAAAAATCGTCGATTTCCGGCCCACGATTACTTACACTTTTGCTTTGTACTACGAAAGTACGCAGCAAAAACGCAAGCAGAGGAATTAAAAATGAAGTAAATATCAACAAAAGCCGTGTCCAACACAGTTGGAGATGCACTCGCTCCCTTGTGCAATCTCTTCTTCTCAAGTCTCGCGGTCAGTGTGACCGTCGTAAGATTTACTTGTGCGAAAACAGAGCAACAGGTCAAAGCGAACATTTTAATAAATAATATCTGAACCCGTGCGAACATTCCGTACTTAGTAAATACTTCTTTAAAAAACTTTAAATGTCTTAAAATTGTATTCTAACTTTAAAGGGTCAGACCTTGAACTGTGGCGATAGTAGTATAATACGCCCGGTATTGTGTGCCAGAAAACATTTAATGTTGAAAAACATGGTGATTAAATATCACTGAAAATCATATAGTCACTTTAATAATTTTAAAGCATAATATTTTTTTCTATTCTTTCAATTTAATGTTACAATGATTTCTAGTGACTTCTCGTATCTGAGCACCCATGTTGTAAAGTAGACGCCCTCAGAAAAGCTAATTGTTCAAAAAGTAAAATAAGATTCAAAAATATTTATTTCTGTAGAACACCGCATAACGCACTTATCTTACTTGTCCCGCAAACGTGTCTCCCCACAAAACTTGTGTTCCTGAAGGGGTACGAAATCTGATTTTACGGGACTAGGACGCATTGTTTCCTAGTTATGATTATTATTTGTATTGCAAAGTCCTCTCTCTAGGACATCATCTACAAATTCCTTCAATTTTCGGCTTAAATCTCTTTGTTGGAGTACTAGGTAACAATTCCCTAACCGCCACTAGCAGACTTGCAGCTTTTTGTGACGATAGTCTCTTACAAATTGTCAAAACCCGTAATCTATTTTAGCGTGTTATATTTCTAAAGGAAGGATGCTACAGATTATTTATTTTCTCGCATATTACATACTTAGTATAGAGGAAGTTATGCAATGCTGCCGAAATAAGCGGTGACTTTTCGGCAGAAAAATTCGTGAAAGTATCAGATTTAAGATTCGTGAAAGTATCAGATTAAGAAAGTAGCAAATTTAAGAATGTGTTCTTCGCACTTATTAAGAAACATAATTGTGACTAATTCAAGAAAAATTATTTCATATGACTGCTATACATTATGAGAATGAATTATTTTGGTTTGTAGCGTAATTTGTGCGATTAAACACATTATTTGGCTTGAACGGACCATTATCTATCATTTGTTTTACAGCAGCTTTTGACCTACTCAGTACTCGCAGATTTACATGACTGCTGTACATTTTTCGAAACCAAGTAATTTGCATTGTAGCATGTTGTATGCAATTAAAAAATAGTCTGAATAACTAACACTATTATTTGATATTCAGTGAAGACACCTATTCATCGCACGTTGATACTGTGTGCAGTAGTGGGTGATCTGAGTACTGTGTTCGAAACATTTTGAGCTCACCTGTCGCGGTGCCTTATCTATCTTTCAAGGACAGGGCATTTAGTGCATGTCTGAGGTGTTCACTGAGTAGGTAATCCGGAACAAGCAGATAACTGGCGAGCATGTCAACACAGCGCTATCTTTCCGTGCGCGGGGCGGCGCGGGCAGAGTGGTGAGGGGGCGAGGGCGGACGCGCTGTCTGAGGCCTCAGTGCGTCACCCAGGGGAGGCCGTGGACGAGCGGGGGATCCGGACTCACCGCTGTGAATCAGTGTTGGCTCTGCTAATGCGCCGCTGGAGATAATGGCCCTCGAGCGCCTGCGTGACTCGGCATCTCCGCGCTCCACGCGGAAGTCCAGCACAACAGCGGCCGCTCGCGCCCAATCGCTAACACCGAGAGTGCTACAGGAACACTCTGAATGGAGCCAATAATAGAAGCTACCTCCTGGGTAATATACTTTTAAATGAGTAATAATAATAATAATAATAATAATAATACAGAGCGAAGTGACTCAGTATGTAGCGCGCTAACTTCGCTGTCAGGAAGCCGGGGTTCGATCCCCGGGCCGGCCCCTGACCAGGGTTTTCGTGGTTTCTCTTGGTAATACAGGCGGATGCTGGGATGGAGTAAAAAAGACCATGATTACCTCTCATCATCATCCTATCACCTCATCACGAGAATGGTCAGAAATGGCCGATACGCAAATAATAATAATAATAATAATAATAATAATAATAATAAATTAATAATAATAATTAATAATAGTAATGACTTATATGATAATGAGCTATTTGACATGAACAGGTGGAAACCATTTAATATTTCGTCTCAGCTTCTACATTTCTTGCAGAATCACATGATATGATTTGTACTTTTCTATACCGGCACAGCTGTAACGACCTCAAAATTCCAAACACTTCCTCCTAGTCGTACGAACACTCCCCAAAACTTACGCCGACAATTTGATTCACAATATTGTAATACCAACAAATTTTACGATATTTGCAAACTTTCCGGATATCCGGATATTTCGGTTTATCTGAGAAGACACATAACCTACTTCCTCTAAGTAGCTGCCCTTGTTGATCAATCGTACTAAGGGTAATCCCACCTCAGGCGTAATGTGTGTGTGTACATGTATTTCGGAATCCGTCATTGTAACTTATATCTCAATATTGTTACGGATTAATCACTGAAATTGCTGTCATTGCAGTACCACTCCTTCGAAGTGTTCAATTGATAAACGATATTATACGTTTAGTCATGATTTATTCATTGGGAAAGACGCAGTGGCCAACAAATACCGATTGCAGTCTTCGTGATCGCGGAAAGCTTTCATTCACCTAAATAAAAACACTGCGTACTAGCAGCAATTTCACGCACTAGCAGCCGATCGTCAAGCTGGATAGCACTCATCAACAACGCAATAAGCCAGAGTGGTGTTCCAAAAAATATTTTACACTTCAACGTGCTATAAACGATTTTGAATTGGCTGCGCAGTGACCACTGTACGAAGGATATGGGTTAATGCATTTGTGCCGGGACAATTATCAAGTGCTTGAAAGACAGAGGAATCTGCAACTAATACTCATATGATGAACTTTCCTAGGAAAGTCTAATATTACTTGCTTATCAGTAATTACCAGGAATTTTCAGTCATAAATAATGGATGACCTTGCTCGTTAGGAAAGAGTTGCTTTGATAAAGCGGCCAAATGTCGGTCAGCAGAGAGTAGAAAAGGCGTGCCCGGGAATCACATGCTTGCACTGGCCGTCAGCGCTCGCGCAGCATGGACCTCGGGCCAGGGGCGGCAGGCCTCGCCCTCGTGATGGCGCTGGTGAGGATGGTGGTGTCCGCGGGGGGTGAGAGCTCAACGCTCGCCTCTGTCGTCGTCAGCGCCAGACGGAACGCTACCGCACACTGGCTTGTCAGTGTGAGTTACTTGTACTCTATTCTAATCGTTTTGTTGGCCTTTCTCCCTTCCAAGCCCATTCCCCCGGGCGAGTTAGTCCAGAAGCGCATTACGTCTCTGTTCCTAAGGCCTTAGGTTTAGAGTCCCGGCTGTGGCAGGTTTTCAACATGTGTAACTACAAAGCTAGGTCGAATTTGCCGCTGGCTGGAGGAAAATTGCACCTACTCTTATACATAATTGTTCATGTTTTCTATTATCAATACCAGGCAAGAACCAGGCCATTGTCCGAACAAACTGGACACGTACCGCGCGATCTTTCCTTCCCCATCCGCGGCCCTTCCTCTCTCCTAACACTTACATACACCACACTATCACATATGTCAGTAGCTTAGAGCTAGTCATCGGTGCCTAGCTAGTCACCGGAGCTAGGCACCGATGTCACTGTAGTGCCTCTGGCCGGAAGGTCCTAGATTCGAGTCCCAACGGTGGCAGAA